CATGCCAGGCAGTGGTGGCACACGCCTTTAATCCCAGCACTTGGGAGGCAGAGGCAGACGGATTTCTGAGGCCAGCCTGGTCTACAGAGTGAGTTCCGAGACAGCCAGGGCTATACAGAGAAACCCTGTCTCAAAAAAAAAAAAAAAAAAAAAAGCAACACACACAACATACTGCTATGGAATTGGAATCCCAGCATTTTGGAGTGTCCTGAATTCCAGGCCAGCCTGGGCTACCCAGACCCTGTTTTAACAAAAACAAACAAAAAACCAAACTAGTTTTATGTAACAGTACTTTTTTCAATTCTTTAGAAAACATGGAATAAATGTACTGTATATACCTTTTTTAAAAGAAGCAAAACTAAAAACCTCTTTATAATAAAAAGAGGCAGTGACATGGCTCAGTGGTTAAGAGTACTAGTTGCTCTTCTAAAGGACCTGGTTCAATTCCCAGCACCCAGATGGTTCTATAACTCCAGTTCCAGGAGATCCCATGTTCTTCTGACTTCTGAGGGGATCAGACATGCAAGTTGTGAGCAGACATACGTGCAGTTAAAACACCCATGAACATAAAAATTAAAAACGGATATATAAAGAAAAAAATGAATCTGTGAAGGTGCTGGTTGTGGCCAGAAAGAATTGCATTTCTTGTAATTGGAGTTACAGGGAGTCCTAGCTGCTAAGTGTGGGTACTGAGACTCACACTCAGGTCCTCTGGAAGAGCAGTTCGTGCTGTTAACCACTGAGCCATTTCTCTAACCCCTGAGAAATTTTATTATACTGGATTTGACAATGACATCTTGGCTATTACACCAAAAGCACAGGGAACAACATAACAGAACTTTAAAATTAAAAAGTTACTTTTCTTGCATCTATTAAGCATGTTATTTTTCTATTATTTCTATTACTTCTGTTAGTATGGCCAAATTATTTATTTATGTAATGAGTATGTTTTGCCTGTTTATATGTATATGCACCACATATATGTATGGTTAGACCTGCTGGAACTGGGGTTGTAAACCATCCTGTGGGTGCTAGAAACTTGACTTGAGCCTTCTATTAGAGCATCCATCTTATGTTCTCAACCACGGAACCATCTCTCTACACCCTAATTAGTTTTTAAAGATTTTTTTATTATTTTAAATTATGTATCTGTGTGGAGATATGTCACATGCTTGCAGGTGCTCCTGGAGCATGGAGTTCCCTGACATGGATGCTGGGAACCAAAATCAGGTCTTCTGGAAGCACAGTGCATGCTCTTAAGCACTGATTCCACTCTCCAGCTCTCAGTTCTTTATATTTTTGTGTAAGGATCATGATATGTAGCCTAAGCTGTTCTGAAACTGGTCTAAAAGTCATGATCCTCATGTCTTGGCCTCCTAAGTACCAGAGTTACAGGTGTGACCCATCATGCCTAACTTATTTCATTTTTCAACGTCTTGAGATAATACCCACAAAGCATTAATTCATACATTTTAAGTGTAAATCTAATGGATTTCATACACACATGTGCAAGCAGAATTATTCATTTTTAGGACATTTAATCATACATATATCAGGTAAAGCTCATACTGATCAGTGATAATGTCCCTTCATAGCCCTCACCCAAGTCCTAAGCAGCCACCAACCTATGTTCTGTTCTGACGACTTTCCTATTCTTAATCTTCATATAAATGTAATTCCATAATGTGTATACTCTTGCATATTTAAATCAGTGTATATGCTGGCTAGTTCTAGGTGAACTTTACATAAACTAGGGTCATCTGAGAGGAGGAACCTCAGTTGAGAAAATGCCTCTTTAAGATCTGGGTGTAGGCAGGCATGCAGTGCGTTTTCTCAGTTAGTGATTAATGGGGAGAGGTTCAGCCCATTGTGGGTAGTGCTCATCCCTGGGCTAGTGGTCCTGGATTCTGTAAGAAAGCAAGCTGAGCAAGCAATGGAGAGCAAGGCTTTAAGCAGCACTCCTCCATGGCCTGTGCTGCAGCTCCTGCCTCCAGGTTCCAATCCTGCTTGAGTTGACTTCCTTCCATTAACTGTGACTCAGAATATGAAAGCCAAATAGACCCTTTCCACCCGTTTTTTGGTCATGGTGTTTCACCACAGCATTAGACATCCTAAGACAGTGTGTTTTCAGTGATAAGTACAGCTGCTATAAGCTTTCATATACAAGTTTTTATGGTCAAGTGTTTTCATTTATCTCAGACTTTAGAAGCATTTAATTGTTTCAGGAGTTGCCTGACATGTATTTATTTAGAAATGGAATTTCTCTGTGTAGTCCTGGATGTCCTGGAAGTCTGTCTGTACACTATGCTGGCCTTGCTCTTACAGAGATCCACCTGCTTCTGCCTCCCAAGTGCTGTCATTAAAAGCCGGTGCCACCAGAGACACCATATGCTCCACCTCTTAATAGGCTGAGATCGAGCTTTTCTAACGTGGGCCTTGGGAGACAATGAAGATACAAATACTAATGATAATCTAGAGGCTAAATGTAAAGCATGGTATCTGGACTGCGTTCTTTATGGAGTAATAGAGGGAGGGAGAAATGGAAGAGAGCAATGGGGGACGCAAGGGCAACAAAGGTGTAGAACGAGGAGACGTGACAGGGCCCGATAGCTCAGTAGGAGTTTGGTTAGGAGTGTAACTTCTGAGTTCTGAACTTGACTGGAATCAAAAGAACCATGCCGATTCTTATTAATTACCACGGGTGGAAATGTGGTGCTTGTTATCTGTTCTCTGCATTTCAGGAACTTCTATTTTTTTTTTTTTTAAGGCAGACCATCATTTAGCCTATGGAAGTCTTGGACGTACAATGCAGGTGAGTATAACCTTGAACTGCTGATTCTCCACCTCGACAAGGCTGGAACCGAAGGTATTCACCACAGCCGGTTAGCGTGGTATTGGGGTCAAAACCTAGGATTTCTTGATTGCTAGAAAGCACTCTGTCAAACGGAACTAATCCACCACAGTATATTTTGTTTTAAAGAAATATAAAAGTGAGGTCAGCAAGATGGCTCCACAGGAAGATACTTGCTGCTATGTTGTAAGATTCCAAGTCAGTCCCTGGAATCCACATGGTAAAAGCAGAGAATCAGAGAATCGAGAATCAGAGAATCAATTCTACTAAGTTGTCCTCTAACACACACACACACACACACACACACACACACACACACACACGAGAGAGAGAGAGAGAGAGAGAGAGAGAGAGAGAGGGAGGGGGGGGGGGGGAGGGGGGGGGAGGGAGGGAGGGAGGGAGGGAGGGAGGGAGAATCTTTAGGATTCCTACACAAGTTACATATCCAACTTTACCATTCTGACATGTATACCCAAGTAGGTGATTCCAACTTGATGCCACTTCCAATGAGCCACAACCAATCAGATAGTGCCAGTTCCGCAGTGCGTGTCTGCTCCTGGAGCTGCACAGAGCCAGATACAGTGTTATCAAAACCTGAGCAACCACTACACAGGCCCTTCGAGGAATGGCAAGGAATGAGAGAGGAGAGATTAAACAGTCTTCAAATATTAAAGAAGGCTTTTGAAATGGATGTGGCCAGGTTTCCACACACACAGGAAAGCCACTCGTTCGTGAAGCCATTCTGAGGTGCCATCACCTGGTTACGCACAGGGACAGTCTGAGAAATGTTTCCTTAGGTGTTTAGGTGCTTTCCTTGTATGAAGGTCAAACTGTGAATGCCAGTAGTGCATTTACACAACCCTAGATGGTACAGGTCTATCATTCAGTGAGGCTGTGTTCAGAGGGAAGGGGCTGGAACTGGAGCTGGACCCTGAGACGCTGTACACCCAAGGCACCTGCTTTACCACTCAACTAGGTTCCTCGACCCTGTGGCCTTTTGATGCTCTGAATATGAGGTGCTGAGGTTGCTGCCTGTTAGACAGTAAGTTTTTTGACTTTTTACTAAGATTACATACTTAGTCAGGCATTGTAACACACACCTATAATCCCAGTACGCAGGAGGCAGAGGCAAGCAGAACTCTGTGAGTTCAAGGCCAGCCTGGTCTACATAGTGAGCTCCAGATCAGCCAGGACTACATGGTGAGACTCTTTCTTAATAAGTAAATAGACAATAAAAACAAGAGTGTACTGCGATACAGTTAAAAGCTTACATAATCAGTAAACCATTTATTAGCACTATCAATTGTACACAACTGTGCTACATTTTTACAAGACTGGCAATGCACTGGCTTGTTTGCACCAACACCAAGACCTGAGTAAAACGCATCATCACAGCTGTGACCTCGCTAGGCCACAGAAAATTTTCAGCTCCATTACCATCTTATGGTAATATGCAATTTATTGACCAAAATGATGTTTAGGCAGGCGGTAAACAGCTGTAAATATCAAACATTGTTCTAGGTACCAAAGAGACCAGGAGGGACTTGAGCTAAGAAAATAAAAGGTCCTGATCTTGAAGAGCTTTTGTTACAGTTATTAGCACAGACAGGGAGGTGGAGCCATATCAAAAAGCCTTGGGCTGTGCAGGCAGCAAATATGGAATGGGAGGGGACCATGTTCAAGACCAATGATCTGGGAATGCAAAGATCTGGATGACGTGATGGAGACGACCATGTAGGAATGTGAGGGAGGTCCTGGCACCAGAGTTGCAAGCACACCTCTAAGGTGGGGAGCGTGTCGAATCTGCTTGGAACATTACTGATAATTCAAATCTACTACCAAGCCCTAGAGAACAAAATAGCCTTGACAATTATCTGAATGGTTTTCAAGAAAAATTTATTTCCATAAATTAATTACTGTAACAGTGGGCATTTAGAGTCACAAACTATCAAACAGAAAAGAAACTGTAGGGTATCATGTACACTAGCATTACCAAAGATGGACACACTTCACTGAACTATTAGCCATGATAACACAGGAACACTTGGGACAGCAACTTACTGGCCCAGATCCTAGCTCAAGGGGGTCTCTTGTTGAGAATTAAAATCCAACCAACACCAGTCTTAAAGACAGAAGAAGCTTCAGAGTTTAGCATGCTGGGCTGGATGGCGGCTAAATGAGGACCCCAGCTTCACAACCAAGATAGCTTTTGCTGGTCAAAGTGCAGCTAACTTGGAATATTAATTAATTGTGATTTGAACAAAGTTTAAGTCTCCTTCCTAGCCAGTCAGTTCTATACAGAAGTTCAGTCCAGGAAAGGAGCCCTCTCCTGACAGGTATTCAGGTGAGGACATTCCATACCTCTGGCCAATTATTTATACTTTGGATACAGCCACCCACAACGTGGTCATTAAAAAGGCTCTTTTCATGATACCAGGGGAAAAGCTATAGAAACAAACCAAAGATATTAAAGAAAGCACCAACTGCATACTCCCCTCCCCCCAGGTACCAGGAGGAAAGTATCACGACCTAAAAGTTGGTCTTGCACAGATCTTAATGCACATAGTATAGAGGAGATGGAGCCCCAGCCTGGGGAGATCGAGGGCTGTGTCCGCTTGGCTGCACTGCAGCCCTGGACCTGCTGCCATAGCCCTGCAGACTTGCTGCTGCTCATAGCCTGGTGGACAGGGAGACACCCAGGGGAAGAATGCCCAGAGTGTGGGATCTAGAAGTGACCTCAGGTTGGCTCTGGAGCCCTCACAAAAGACCCTTTCAGGCAAAATTGTGGGGGAAAAAAAAGTCATGATTTTCACAGCTCTTGGAGAAGCACAAAGTTTAGGATTCACAGCATGAGTTTCTGAGCGCTTCAGGCTCGAGTAAGGCAAAAGCTACATCTCTTCCCACTGCACCTCCCTCCTGGTCAGCTCTTACAGTAAGGGCAGCAGGAAGACAGACAATCTGCTTTAACGGGCAATGAGGTACATTTAGATGGATGGAGAGAGGCAGGAAGGGACAACAGGGGAGGAAAAGAAGACAGGCACTAGTGAGGGAGAAGGCTGCTCGAGAGAGAAACAGAAAGGTGGCCAAGGAAACGGCTGACATCTGGCTGGACCATTAAAGCACTAAACTTCTGGAGGTGAGCTACAGCTAAGTGCATTGTGCTTAATGGCAGCTTCTCTTCACTTGGGTGGGAAATCCCCATGCTCAGAAACTCTACCAATTCCCATTACAGAACCAATCTATAGTTTTGGCAGGTGACATGCCAGCAGCCACTACCTCCAGTCATGGTCAGAGACCACAGGTTCAGAGGACACTAAGGTGTTCCTGAGGATGCCTGACCGATGTGAAACATAATGATAAGACAGGTGTGGCTGAGTCTCTTAGTTCTGAAGCAGAACAGCCATTGCCAGAGGGCAGGCCAAGCTGGCCTTGGGGCAGTTTTTCTCCTCCATTCTCAGGATAAGGATGGAGTTGGGGCTCTCTAGTCCTGTGCTCCAAGATGCTAACAGTCCAGACCAGTGTTTCCAGCCTTTCACATGCCACATTGGTCAGGGACAAATTCTGAAGGTCTATATGCTGGTGGTGCCCCTGCTGTGCATACCTCACCTGTTGTCTCTTGGTTGATCTGGATGCCCCAGTGACGGTGGTGGTGAGACTGACAAATGGTTATTTACTGCCCACTAGCTTGCAAGCTGTCTAATGTACGATGTCTTAGATGTATTTGTAGAAGGGCACAATGTGTAACTCATTCCATTCCCTGTAGTGACAACACAGAGTTCAGAAGCACTGAGTAACTAAACATCCTGCCCCAACAAGGAAGAGATATTCAAGTGAACACAGGTCACATGTGTGTGGCCTGGGCAGCATGTGTAAAACAGGATCTGCATCACTGCTGAGGGCCAGCATGCAATCTAGCCTGCTCTGTTCTGTTACATAAAATGACCTTCAAGTCTCCACAGAAAAGCAGTTGTGTGTTAACTTATTTAAACAGCTGAGGAGGTGGAGGACATGGTATGTGTCCCCCTGTTCATATCCAGTTTACTGTTTCAGGGTAGCCCAGACCACCGACCTGCAAAGGAAAGGCACATTAAGACCCCGAACTGGCACCCCTCCTCCCTAGTCACTGACAAATGGGGAATGAAACAATCCTAGGAGCATTGGCCAACATTCCAGAACAGCACTGCTCACTCTTCTCTACAGACAGACAGGGAAATGTCCCTGGACAGGTTAGGAGAATGGAAAGAAATGACCACTGGTCAGCAGCTAGCCTGAGCATCTTACCCATCAGCCAAGCAATTCGGACTCTCTGAATTCTGAGTGCTAGGTGTGAAGAATGAATGGGAGAGATACTGGGATGAGAAAACACAAGGAGAGGAGGGAGCACAGTGAGGACACAGTGGGAGGGTAAGCTCTGAGGGCCTGCTGCTCAGACAACGTCAGCCTACTGTCTGCAGATCCCTCTGGGCACAAACCTAGAAACTGTGCTACTTCTAGCATGCAAACATTTCCAATAGGTTTTACAAGAGATCAGAGTACATGAGGCACTCTCTGAGAGTGCTGGCTCTGGCATTTTGCAGAACCAGGCACTCAAGCAGCTGAAGATGCTCTTGGCCAGCCTCTAACACCACTGCTCCTAACTTCATCACACACCAACATTTCAGAGAAAACCACACTCCACCTTAACAGTTTTTAAGTGGTTATAAAAAGAAATCTACTTTTATGTATATAACTAAACAAATATATGTATTCAGTGGGCAGGACTGAGAAGGAGGGTGAAAAAGTGCTTCCTCTAGTGAGCTATGTGAAAAGCTGGAGGGGGAGGGGCTGCCTAGAACACATGAATGGGAACACTGCCCCTCCATGTGCCGGTCAATGCCTGTCACATATTCTCCTAAGACATGCGTTGTCTTTCTCCTTAATGTCTTACAAAATGGTTTAAAATCACATTAAGAGACCCCAAACATGCAGCAATAATATAAAAACAAAAAAGAAAAAAATGAAAATAATCAACACCATAACATTAAAAAGTGCAACTTACATTGGGGCCTGGACGGGCTCCTCTGGCACTAGTGACCCGCAGTCACAGATGGGAGAAAAGATGGGGAAAAGCCATAAACACATACAAACACACATTCTCTCAGAATAAAGGTCCTGGGCAGACAAAATCAAAGTCAGGAAACACACCAGTTCATCTTTTTCAGTCACCAAAACAAGCTGGTGAGGACACACAGGCCAGGTAGCCAGGTCCTCCCCCAGGCCAGGTTTCTAAATCATCTTGGGCGAGCAGCACCATAAACGGAGAGGAGCTTTCCTGTGGACGCACAGACCCCGAGTCCTTAGATTCCTAGTGTTGCTTAAGATGTGTGGCTTTTCCACCTGTGACGGGAGATGGGAAGGAGGTGGCCTGACGTCACTCAGGACCATTCCCAGGAGAAAGGGAGCATTCCTGAGGCTCTATACTCAGCAGGAGAACTAGAGGGCCCTTCTTCACCAGCTTCTAAAAAGGCTGCACCTTGAAATAAGTAAAAATTCATGGGCTGGGCATCGTGAGTGGTTTGGGCACAGGGCTTAAAATCAGGGAACCTCTTCCAGTGAGGTCTGCAAAAGTTCAAAATGAAGACCCAGAACTATTCTCAGCAGTTGGCTGATGCTCCTGTTCCTCCTCCTTGGCAAAAAAGGTCTCCAGTTCCATCAGCTTCTGGATCAGAAGAGCATCCAGCTCTCGACTCTGCAGCGCCGCCTTCTGGGCCCTGGTGAAGCTGCCGGCCAACTTCACCTTACCTCGAGCTCGTCTCTTTCGAGGGACTGTAAAATCCTGGAATTCCAGAACACGCTTCCTTTTCTGCTGGCTGACAGAGATCAGGGTACCATTTCGTTCTTTGGGTTCCTCAAAGATGGTCTCTAAACACCTAAGGATAGAGCACAAATCAGAATCACCAACTGCCCAAAGCTTCCTGCACTGACTCCCAACTCAACTGTGTCCAATGGCTGTTTCTGTGCATGAGAAAAAGCATATGTGTGTTTATAACTATGTGCACAAGTGAAAAGTTAGAACTGAAGGGTGTACAGCAAGACTGAGTCAAGTTCCTCATGCTGGTATGTACAATACCACTAACTCCTGGTTTTGTAAACGTTCTCCATGGCAGTTGACACTGGGCCATTGCTTGTCACATAGCCCCAGCTGGTCTCAAACTCCATATTTAGCCAAGATGATTCCTGAGCCCTCTACTTCTGCCCCCCCCCCCCCGCTCCCAATGCGGGGATTACACATATGCTATCACACCAGGACCAAGACAGCGAGTCTTTTAAACCCTATGAGCAGTATGGATCTCTACCACAAATTTGTTTTGGGTTTCCCTTCTGTGAACAAAGTATTAGCTCAACAACCACAAAACAAAAAATAAAGCAAATGAACACTGGTGGCTGGGATCAGCCATAGACCATTTGTCTAACACACATGAGGAGCCTGGGCTACAACACCAGCATGGCCTTAAAGAAAGGAAAGACAGGTATGGTGATCCAAGTCTTTAATCTCAACTACCACTCAACTAGGGAGGCTGAAGGACGGTCACTTGATTTGGGGGAAAGCCTTGAGTAGGCCTAGAATTTGGTAACCGGTGGTACATACCTCCAATGGACAAACAACATGCACTGTCTTGCACACAGGACTTTTATCTACAAAAGACCCTGAAGTTTGTTTTCATTTAATTAACATTGTCTGATTCAGTTTCAACAGCTATGTATTCTATTTCCTTGTAAGAATGGCCCTAAGTTCAGTGAGCACCCTAATAACGCGCACTTTCGGCTGTTCCCATCTTTCTGGTTACCTAGCACAGCTGCAAAGAATGGGCTTCTAGGAAGAAATGCCTTCCAGGCAGAACCCATGTCCAGAGTCCTGGGATAAAATACCAGGACTCTCTTCCTTCCACCCAGACAAACCAGGCAATTTAGTGCCTGTCACTGCTTTGAAAACTGCCTTTAGACCCAGAGCAGGCCAAGTGACACCACATCAGTATATGGGCTGAGAGCTGAGATCATGGCTGAAGCAGTAACTACTAGCCCAGATAAAACATGGCAGTGTATACTCAACAAGACACACTTGCAAAGCACACAGACAGCTACGTGGGCCCGAATCCCACAGACATTTCATATCACTGACCCCAATACAAGAACTCAGAACCCAATTCTAGCTACTTCTAAAGCCTAACACTGTGCTGGATACAGGGCCACCTGTAATACAGAGCTAGCTTTCCATAGGCAGAAGCAGGTGGATCTGTAAATTTTAGGCTAGCTAAATATGCACGATGAGACTGCCCCACAAAAAACAAACAACAGATGTCCGAAAAAGGTGAGGCATCCATTCATTCCAGCACCGCCCCCTGAGCCCAGTTGCAGGACTCACCTGCTCGCAGGAGGAGACTTGTAATTCTTGTTTGTATAGATTTCCTCTAAACTAAACTCCTTTTTCTTTAACCTGTGAAGACAAAAAAAAAAAAAATCCTCATTCCTGCTGTCACTGTCACGCGCTCTTTCAAGAGAAAAAGTGTTCATCCACTCCTGGACACTCGAGCTGCAGAGAAGACTCAGGCCCTGGCACACCAGGGAAGGACTCTACTATAGCTTCACACCAGCTGCATCCTGCACCAGGGGGCATTCCTCTTCATTTTGGGTTCTATGAGACAAGGTCACACTAGGTAGCCCAGTCAGATGCTCCTACCTCCTCTGATAGCTGGGGTTACATGCACGAGCCTGCGCCCAGATGCTTTCTCTCCGTTAGCAGTGCTGGGCCTTGTGAATGCTGGACAAGTGCCCTGCCACTAGCCCAGCCACATATGCTTTTTTATTCTTCATGGCTTGCAAATGATAAGATTTAGTGGCTGGCAAGAATTTAATGAACACAATTAACTTTTATTGGGTGAGTTGGTTGGTTTATTTATTCACTCATTCATCCATCCATTTATTGATAAGACAGGGCTTCTCTGTGTAGCTCTGGCTGTCCTGGTACTCCCTCTGTAGACCAGGCTAGTCTTGAACTCAAGAGATTCCTCTGCTTCTGCCTCCTGAGTAATGGGATTAATGACCTGTACCACCATACCTAGCCCCTGGGTTTAAATATGTGGGCGTTCTACCTACATGTATATCTATGCACTATGTGCCAGATAAGTCAGAAGAGGGTGATGGGCCCCCTGGAACTGGAGCTACAGTTGTGAGCCACCATGTAGGTGCTGAGAATTGAAGCCAATTCCTCTGCAAGAACACCCAATGCTTTTAACAATTCAGTTATCTCTCTAGTCTCTGCAGTCCCAAAAGGGTTTTTTTGTTTGTTTGTTTTTTGTTGTTTTATTTTGTTTTTGAGACAGTGTCTCTCTACATAGCCCTAGGTGTCCTGGAACTCACTATGTAGACCAGGCTGGCCTCAAACTCAGAGAGAGAGAGAGAGAGCTGCCTGGCTCTGCTTCCTGAGTACTGGGATTAAAGGCATGAGCCAACATACTTGGACTCAAGTCTATTTCATTTTTGAAACAAGTGACATGGCTCAAGAGGGTAACTGTGATATCACCAAAGCCAACAAATGACTTGATTTCAACAACTGGAACCCACATGACAGAATATACCATGTGTGCCTACATACAAAATAAGTAAATATACACTCATTTTTTTCAATTATACTGTGTGTAGGGAGATAAGGGGATAATCTGTATCAGTCCTCTCCTCTTACCACGTGGGTCTCAGAAACTGAACTCCACCCATCAGTTTAGTTTATCTGGAGCCATGTTTCTGGCTTTTAAAACTTACTTTTCATTTTTATGTGCAGACTAGGGACAACCTTGGACAACATCCTTGGGAATCCTGCCTACCTCTTTTCAGAACCCATCTAAGTTCATGGGTTAGGATAGACAGCTGGTCGGGCCAGTGAGCCCCAGGCTCTTCAGTTTAGAAATTCTTAGCTTGTGTCACCAAAGCTGGCATGTTTAATCTGGGTTCTGCAGACTGTACTCAGGTCTTTTAATTACCAGCCTCAAGCTTTTGATTACATCAGCCTAGTGCTAGGATTATAAGAGTAATGTCTTTTTAGCAATAAAATGACATAACTATTGTCTGGATATACCGGCTCCCCCAGTCCCTGCTACAGCACACGCTGCTCACCTCTAGGTTCAGGCACTCGTAAGTAAAACTCACACAAAGGTGTGTAACATTTTTTCAGTATATACATTCCCAACTTGTAGATAAAATCTAATGAATATAAAGTGATGGCACTTTTAATCACAGCACTCGGGGGACAGAGGCAGGTGGATCTCCAAGTTCAAGGCCAGCTTGGTTTACAAAACTAGTCACAGGAGAGCCAGGGCTATACACAGAGAAACCCTATCTTGAAAAGCCATACAAACTAACCATCAAACAAACACCCTAACTGCGTGCTGTAATATATGATCAGAACATATTCACTTAACTGCATGCTCACCCACAATGAACTTGATGTCTTGCTGCTCTGTGCCCAGCGACATTACTGTATGCTTTCTTTAGCTATTTTAAGAGTGTACAGTCTTCTAATAGTCTGTCCTTGCTTTAATGTGTAAATCCACAATGACACAACACTGGCCAGCGTTTCAGACGTCTGTTTTCTCATTTTGACAAGATCTAAGTTCAGGAATTTTGTACACTTTTGAATTGGGTTGCTTGTTTTCTTACTGAGTTTTAAGATCGGATATAAGGCGCAAGGATACAGCTCAGTGGTATGGGACTTCCACTAGCCATGCAATAAGGACCCAGGTTTGATCCTAAGTACCACTGGACAGAGGGAGGGGAGGAGTTGTATATTCTGAATAATGGTCCTTACTTGGATTTATTAAATTGGAAATATATTCTGCATCTATTTTATTACAGCTTGCCAACTTCTAATTTTCTATCAACCATCTACCTACCAACCAACCTATTTATCTATCAAGCAACCAACCAACCAGAGGCGGCTGCATAGTTAGAGTTTGATTGATTTTGAGCTAACTTTTGTACATGGGATCCAATTTTATATATGGCAGCCCAGCACCACTGGTTAGAAAGCCTCGCTTCCCCTCAACGGCCACGGGTTTTTTGGTGGAATCAACTAATTTTAGATGCTTACATCTAGGCTCTCACTGCGGTATCTCCTTAGAGACTACCCTTCTGCTACGACAGTGCTATCAGGACTATTGTAGCTTCATATCATTTTTATAGTAAACTTCCAAAAGCATGACATCTGCCATTAATCTCGTGTTTTCAAAGACAATCTCAGCACAAGCTAACCTTAAACTCTGCCTCGGTGTCTAGAGAACTGGGACTACAGGCATGCACCAGTATCATGCTTGGTCATTTCAACATTTTAAATAGATTTTGGTATGTGTGCGGTACACGTATGAGTTGCGTGGGTACGTGCTCATCCTTGTGTATGCAGAAGCTCTGTTTCTGTTCACCTTACTCCTTTCAGACAACATTTCTCAGGGTAAGATATGGTGGGCTATTAAGGGCACTTGTTGCTCTTTCATGGCTGGGGTTCAATTTCCAGCACGCACATGGTAGCCCAGAGCTCTAACTCCAGTTCCTGGGGCTCTGATGCCTTCTTCTGTTCTCTGCAGACCCTGCACATTGATAGTTAATATACATACACAAGGATATACACACATAATTTTTTTAAAAAAATCTTAAAACAAAAAGACAAGATCTCTAACTGAACTGGAAGCTTTACTGTTTTACCATTTTGGGTTAGGCTATAGAGCTATTCAGTGAATCTTCACCCCCAACATGAACAACACCCATGTGTGGCCATGTTCAATTTTTTAGGTGGCTGTTTGTTATTGAACTCAGGTCCTTGAATTGGAAACTTGAAGTGTTCTCTGGAAAGTCAGTTGGATGGTGTTTTCCTGGGGCAAACACATGAAGGAACATTTCACTGAAGCAGACACAGGAGAGAAGCTGTTCTGATATGCTGAAGTTTCTTGCCAATTCCTTGGATTTGGGTTGATTGGATGCATGTTCTGAGGCAAGGCACATGAAGGGCATGTGATGTTTGGAGGGTATAAACAGGACTCCAGCCAGGAAGTGGTGGTGCACGCCTTTAATCCCAGCACTTGGGAGGCAGAGGCAGGTGGATTTCTGAGTCCGAGGCCAGCCTGGTCTACAGAGTGAGTTCCAGGACAGCCAGGGCTACACAGAGAAACCCTGTCTCGAAAAACAAAAAAAAAAAAAAAAAAAAAAAAACCAACAGGACTCCACGGAGTGACAGAGATAGAGTTTGGCTTGCTGGGACAGCTAGCTGTGCAAGGGTCTCCTGTCTTCACTGATCTTCCCTGAGAGAGTCACAGCTGAGAACTTCTCCTGGCATCCCTCCAGGTTCCTCCTTCGGACTTGAACTGAGGCTGAGGCCTGGCTGTCTCTGCTAGGTTGTGTCACCACTGTTGCTAATCTGACTCTACCGAACTGGACTGCTGGTATATCCGTGGGGAGTTTGTGAATGGATGGAGCTGCTGCTGCCTCCTAACTTGTAAAATGAACTGTTGATTTCCAAACAGCACAAACAGGAGGTACTCCAAAAAACCTTTCTAAACAGGTCCACTTCCCCCATATCCCTTCTTTTTCACTACCTCTGGTGAGTGGTGGGTTGTTAGAAGGAAGGTAAAAGGTGTGTGTTCAAGCCAGGCGGTGGTGGTGCACACCTTTAATCCCAGCACTTGGGAGGCAGAGGCAGGCGGATTTCTGAGTTCGAGGCCAGCCTGGTCTACAGAGTGAGTTCCAGGACAGCCAGGACTACACAGAGAAACCCTGTCTCAAAAAACAAAACAAAACAAAACAAAAAAAGGTGTTCAGAAGTGCTCTGAAATGCTATCTTGTGCATACCCAGGAATTAGCAGTGTACACTTGAGAACATTTCCCCTAAAGGAAGCGTATAACTTCCAGGAAGACTGACTACTCTCTGTCTTTTGGTTTCAATAAAAACAAGTTCAAGAGGTTTCAACACACAAAATATGGAGGCCTCAAACATTCAGACCATGGCATAATAGAGGGACACTCAGTGAAGAGCAGAGGGATCCCTCCTCTGCAGACAGGCAGGCATACCACAAGCACTCACTAGCCCTAACCCTTACAAGAAGCAGACTAAAGCTTAGATAACTGGTGGCCCCTTAGGAAGTTTAAAGGGAAGATGAATGAAGGCAGAAATATTGTACAATCAATGGACTTCCACGTTGCTATCAGCTATTCTAATACAGTCAAGTGAACGTGCATAGATCAAATTGGTTCCACAGGGGAGGTTCGTTAAGCCATAGTTTGTTTGTCCTACCAGGACAAACAGCCAGATCAATAATGGGAGTTTACCATCTCAACAGACAATATAATGAAATGATGATGACACCATTTGTTTCCACACAAACTGGGATTTGGCTTGACTACTGTGAAGGTCAGCGCCTTGTCAAATCCACTGTGATAGGCAACCTCATGCTAAAT